AGGCTGTTCGCGACAGGAAAATAATATGAGTTGATCATAATCCGCGGCAGCACTTCGCCTCCAGATACGGAGGTGCACAACAAACCAAGCTGCAAGGACACTTCACATATGGAGTCACGAGAAGTATAGCGAAATAATGATACTTGGTAGAAATGTCTTTTTCCGTTTCTTTCAAATCTTTCTGATTGTGAACGAAATATAAAATAAAAGTGCATATTTATAACATATATATTGTATGGATATGTCGTTTTTATCATTCCTCAGGTAGAACACAAATCAATGATACTATTGATACTTGAATGCGTCATTATGATTTCATTTATTACTTATATGAGAACTTACAAATAAGACTATTATGACAACCTGTATACTTATATAGTATCATTATGACTCTGTCTTTTATCTGAGGAGTAATAAAAATAATATATCTGTATAATTTAAAATGAACTTATAAATGATAAATAAAGATTGGATGAGATTGTTGTATTATGACAACCTGTATACTTATATAGTATCATTATGTTTTATCTGAGGAGTAATAAAAACAATATATCTGTATAATTTAAAATGAACTTATAAATGATAAATAAGGATTGGATGAGATGTTCTAAGATATCATTAGGATCTATGTTTTACTAGAAATTGATATATAAGAACGATATCTATTATAAAGTGAACTTATAAGTGACTGTCAGGTGAATAAGGTCATGATGACGTCCTTATAATATTATTATGACTTCTGTGTTCTACACATGTAAGTCACACGTGCAGCAACAGTAAATGATGTTTTGATGATATTGTTTAATGTTACAAAAAGTTGTACAAATCAAGAGAAAAGAGAATTTCTTAACACAACAAAAATAAGAGGCAAAAAGTTATTCGATCAAGAGTACATTATTGTTCTCTTTGCCCTGTAATCATTATGCTGCGCTATGATCGTGTACGTCATACATCCGCATTGTATGTGCACTATGAGTGGACAGTATGATATATGCACGTGCACCGACCGGTGCAATTGCACGTGTAAAGCGGGCGGGTGAAAGGGAGGCCGGTGACGGGAGGCTCGTCAAATGCGATGCGGAACATAGGAAGAAGAAATGACATTACCGGATTGTGCAATAGATATGCGACGCTACGTGAATCAACTACCTCGGAGACCGAACGAGGTGTCGGAAGTAATTAGTCACGACTTTTTTTCCCGCAGTAATTGGCGTCGTGCAGACTGAGTGATTTACGCGGCGCATTTTTACGCGAATGCGAATTAATTCGCGTATGTAATAGGATGATGACTCGTGCTATGGTACTGAATAAAAAAAAAAAACTTATTAATAGATACAATCGCGATTGATGTAACGAGATGAAAGGCATATTGGTACATCGGCATTATGAAAGCTTCGACCGTAACTTAAGTAAAATTGATGCGCATTAACTCTCTGATTAAAGCGGCTTCAGACGACATAAGCAATGTACGTCAACATTAGTAAATATTAAATACACACATATACACACATGACATGCATAATTATCCATATGAATGTAGATAATTATTTAGCGAATGTACGAGTACATAAAGTTAACGTACATTGCCCAAGCCGTCTTTTCTGGATACAAGGAAGTATCTAAGATATTCATAGATCGTTTTTATTTGACGACTGGGTTAAATAAGGTTTTAAAATGCTAATACGACTTTGTGATTAACTTATGACATCTCAAAAATGTACTTAATACGATTTTAAAATATGAAAACCAATTATAACCACTGGCTTAAGTCTATGTAATTTTGTGTGATAATGTTATAAAAGTTATAATATTATAAAAACACAAGATAATCAAACGTACAACGTATAATATTATACGCGTCTATCTTATATAATTCTTTTATATATAAATTGAATAGTAAGATAATTGATTAGCAAGCGTAAATATGTTTCTTTTTATACGCATTATGCATGGATGCATGTGTCCTGGCGGGACGGATCGTAAATTCAACTATTATTACGTTTCAGTTTGTGTATAAAATACAATTATTCGCACAAGTAAACCGCAGAGTGGAGCCAAGTACACCGCGCTCGCAATAGTGCTAAACGTCATGTTTGTTGCACGAAAGAGATTTACGATTGTAGATGATTACGCAGGTGATTTCGTCTTGGAGGCGACGCGCGATTACCAAGCAGCAAGATTACCCAGCAGCAATGATTATGTATTCTTAATAGGATGAAGCGCAATCTGCTTATACACCGCCGCGCCGCGCCGTGACAGAACAGACTCTCGCGCTGTTTGATGCTTACAAACTCGCCTATCCGGTCGCGGGACGAACGAAGCGGAGCTTCATCGCGATCGAAACTCACCGAAACTCGATTTTCGCAGCTTGTTGGCAAGTCGTCGTCCCGGGGAAGTCTCAAAAATTACATTATTATCCGGCTGTCACCCGACTGTCAGCGAGCGTAATGAGAGCAGACGTTCTCTCCTGCGGAGACCGCGCGTTGTAACGGCGAAATTCCGCGGCATGAAAACTGGCAGGTGCATCATGTTAAGAGAAACACCAGAGGCGTCATACTCCTCATCCAAGTAATAACAGACACGGCAACGTTCACCCATGACGAAAGAAATTTGATTGTACATCGCGCTGTTTGCGTTGCTACGACTACCGGCCGCTAATGATTCAACAATTACGAAAGTTCTCCTCTGAGGCTGAACTATCATCCGCGCGTATTTCACCTTTTGCAATAATAATGAACAATCTGTAAGCTTCGATTGTTGTTTCACCGCTCAAAGTTATTTAAAACATATACACTGTAATGACGTAATACGCGTGGCGTGTCACGATGCCTCTGGTTAAAATATTCGTATCATTTGGTGCTTCAACGAATATGCACAAAGTTCCGAGACTGTTTTACAAATGTTGCTCTCTGCAATAACGCGGCATGCATTTATGCATGTACAATTATTCGAATGCAAACTCGTTAATCTGTTTTAGACGCGGAGCCGCTCGCGTTGCAAAAATCATAAACGATATTTTTAAACAGATGCGAAAACGAACGTGCGTTCACATTCCTGAATGCACTGCACAAAAGTAACAAAGCCGTGACGAAAGTTTATTAATATTGTAGAAAAATTTTATAAAAATTAAAATACCATAAACAAAAGCAATATTTATTTCAATAATTTAAATATCTGTCGTTTATTTGAAAGATTGTTATATACTCAATATTCGAAAAATTATTATATTCGAAATTGCTAGTATATTTAAAAATCAATATATTTAAATCGATGTTTAAACCATTATAGTAATTGAATTTTCAATTCCAAGCAAAGCAGAATCTTGATAAATTAGCGACGAAATCGTAATTCGCAATTTGCCGGAAGTCAGGTCGACTTATTTTTGTGAAGATTTCCGCATGGTTGAGAACGTTTCAGACACACAAATGTCGGCCCGCGAGAGATAAAGTTACATTAAAATCAAGAGGAATAAATTGGAGTTCGACGGGAATTCGCTCGGACAATTATCTTGGGGACGAAGTAGCTCCAATTAAACGAGCTTCCTGCAGTTCCCGTCTCGCAAAAACGGGTCCGATGCTAATTAGCAAAGTCTATGCTGGAAGTGAATTTCATATCGAGTTGTAATCGAGTAAACAACGGCCTTAAGTAGTTCGAGCGTGCTATCTGCTTCCACGATTTCTTCGTGACCTGACATTCAATCGCGATATTCGCCCGTCGGGGGCACCCGTCTCGCCTTATAACGACGCATAAATGTCGTGAACTGAATGCAAATAATCCCGAAGAATCGCTCAATGCAACGAACGGAACCGCGATAAACGTCGGATATATGGAAAATAAGCGTGAAAATGCAGAGATTGCGTTTTATTACTTATTATTACGCTTACGATCGTAATTACAATCTAAAATGCGTGAAGATTCCAATTCTCTTTATTTATATCTTTATAACCGTCTCTCTCTCTTTTTTTTTTTAAAAGATTCAATAACTTATTCTTGTAAAAACGTTTAAATTAATTTAATATATGAAATTAGAATAGAATTTTCCGTACATGAAATATAAAATTAATTTAATTCTGAAATTGTTTGGCATATAATATACCAGGAGTACACTTATCTTATTTAGTTATTTAAAAAGGACAAGAAGTCAAATATAATAAATGTGTTTGCGCAATCTGAATCTGCAAGCGAACTGAAATATTTGCTTATTTGGTTTACTAACGAAATGCGCCTGGAAATATTCACTATTAATTCGCTATCCGACATTAAATTTAAATTCGTTTTTACCATATCGACTTTTATTGATTTAACATAGCATTTCGGGGCATAGCTGCGCATTTCGTCCATGGAATTGAAAGAGCCGATTATAGCACAATAGAATATTCCATTATCTAACTTCAATAATCCGGTTTATAGTTATAAATAAACTACCTTGAGAGGATTACAAATGGCAGCTCTAATAAACCATACTTAAACTAGACAATTCTAAATTAAGAGAGATTTATGTGTGTGTGACGGTATGTAATTATATTATTACGAGAAAATATGTAATCGAAAAAAAAAAATAACGGATAATTATGTCGATTACTATTCAATTCAAAAGTTAATTGCAATTTTAAAGTTAAGTTATCTTAAATCAGATTTAATTGTAACAAGTGTATTTGCATTGAGTGATTATTAAACGAGAAAATATTTCGCTATAAGGAGAATAATACAGAACGATTTCTTCGCGAGAACTCGTCGAAACGAGAACTTAATTAAGAAATATAATCACGTTCGCCACAATCGACAGAAGGTTAAAAATTGACATCGGAAAATTAACAGGAATTTTATAACGTATTTCGAATACGATAAGCGCTGATGTCAACAGAGTAAATTTACAAATCTCCGAGACGACAGCTCGCCGCACTGTGTAAATACAAACTTTGTATCTGCGATATACAAACAAGAAAAAAAAAAAAAAAAAGAAGAAATTCGCTAATTTAAAAGAATAATATCGCACTCACTTGGGTAACTGCGTGCACAAGCGACAAAGCACGCCGCGATGAGAAGAACTTGGACGAACGTTTTCATCCTGTCGCACACAGGGAACGTCGGCAATTCGTAAAACCGCTAAGAATAGACTGCTACTTCGACGATGTCTCGATCGACACTAACCGGTCCACCCGAACGACGACTGTCACGTACAACTCGCGAAAGGATCAAGGTTACTTGCCGGACCGGACAGTGGAAAACACCGACGCTTCGCCCCGCAGCTTTTGCCCGCGCCGTGATTATATGCGATCCCCCGATCGCGGCTGCGCCAATGAGTGCCGATCGCCTCGTCACGTGGCGCGTGTCACGTGATTGCAGCGCGCGATTTTGAGTCACGTCGCGGCTTTTCTCGGTACCGGCGGGCGGTCTCTGTAATCTACCTCACCACCGGAATATTAAATCTAACGTACGGTGCGCGCAAACAATCGTGTCTTTGATTTTTACAGCGATCTCGATGAGTCAACGAACAATTGCGCATGTACTGATAATTACACGAGTATACCAGACTGAGTGCATAATACATGAGTGTAACACTCTTGTTCCGGGTAAACGCCGCGAACGTTATCGCGCCTGTCGTCAGTTTAGTTCGAAAAATCATTACTCACGAGACTTTCCAAGAAAAAAGAAAAAACGCGAGAAGATAAATGGCGCGAATAACAGTTTCAAGTTTAGGCCGAGACGTTGAGAAATTGTGTAATCTTGATGAAAACGGGTCAGAGAGGAGAGGCGGTGGCTCGAACTGAGAATCCTTATCGTACGCACGTGGTATACACGCGGTAGTGATATATATATATGCGTACGCAACTGTGCGTGATTGTGTGTATGCGTACATCCTCTCTTGCGTGTGTATTATTATGCGGGTTATTATTATTATTATTACAGAAACCGCACGGTGCAACGATGGCGGGCGAACTAGCGCAGCGGAACACGATAATTATCGTGCGTCTCATAACAAGCTTGTGTGTACACGCGGGGCCGCCTTACGCACGCCGCGGTGTACCGGCTTGCCATGCCCTGCGCGCTTTCGCGTAAGAAGTCTGTTACATGAACCGTCGAGAAACTTCGGAACCAGACGAGACTTGCCTGACGAGATGCTTAACCCTGAGACACGCGCACGAGCTACTTTTACAACCGCAAAGACGTGACAAATTACTTCATATAATTGCTGCCGAGTAAAATTCTAATATCACTAGGCTAGACTGTAAATGTTAATTTTCAAGATTAATCTTCGCTTTTGCGAGGAGATCATTTTTAAAAGAGACTATTCCTAATTCTCAAAAATTATTTTAACATATATAAATGTAAAGCGGCAAAAATGTTTGCGAAATTCCGTAAGTCTATTATCCCTAGGTTAATCATTAGTTTGAAAGATTACACTGCAAACTCATGTGTGTAAAAAGTGACGATAATATATGTGTGTAATTAGTTTCCGTGTAAAAAATATACATTATACTGCATACAAAAATGCATATATTTAAACGTTTAATACATATAATTTTTTACACGAAAGACTAATTACACACATATATTGTAGTCACTTCTTACACATTTAGATGGCAGTGTAATCTTTACTTTCGTATGAAGAAACGACTTTTAAAAAAGAGAATACCTATAATTCTTGAAAATTATATTAAGATATGAAATGGCAAGCTAAACTTTTGCGAAAATCTATATTAAACCCGGATACTCAAGAATATATATATTTGCGTTTCAAAGTTAATGTAAAGGTATAAAATATGTTCAGAGTAAAAATTACGTCTTTGCAGTGTGGCGTTCTAGTATTCGCAAAAGCGACCTATAAATTTCGTAGTTACATGTTGATAAAAGCGGTAATTGCGCGGTGAAATTATATGCGATTGGACCTTGTGATTGGTTACGTCAGGGCCATAAGTATTTATATAATCAAGTCGTTTTCTTGAATAGTTAGAATCGTGTAATTCATATATTTTTTTTCATCATCTCGAATAAGGTATAAGCTACGATCACGCACTCTTCGCTTCGTTACTTTTATAAATTTTCCATGCACGCGATTCATACGTGTTCTGCGCAAAAAATGTAGCAAAAATAGACACGAACGATTCATTGTAATAGATAAATGTAGCATTATGCGACGTCCATTTTGTCTCTCTACCACGTATGAATTTAACCTTGCACTTATTATCGCTTTAGGTATTTCCGGCCACCTAATACCATGCGATAGCTGCTACCTAAAAAGATTTAACGCTGAGTTAGCAACGGAAGCTAAAACAATAAATATGTCAAATAAATTTATCAAAATCGCTGCCCTAGATAAATATAAAATTATGTAAAATTTTATATTTAATTAGGTATATAATTTTAATTAAATTAATTAAATTAAAAAAGATCTAGCTTGTTTAAATTCTTAATTCGTCATAACTTTGATTTCTCTGACATTGAATTAGCAATGGAAGCTGAAGTAATAAATATATTAAATGGAGTTGTCGAAATATCGTTGCCTTAAATCAATAAAATTATATAAAATTGTAATATTAATTTTAATTAAATTAATTTAATTATTAGCATATCTTACAGTTCAAAATTTCAATTGGCCATACGTAGAATAATTTCAATTCTTTTTAGAAAAGAGATATTTGAGTAATTAAATCTTAAATATGTTATAATTCAAATGTGCATTAGCGCTAAGTAATAATAATATATCTTTAATCGATTTGAAACAATTGCTCTGTTTTTCTTTGATTCCGATTTCTTGTGAAACGCGACTCTTGATAAGCAGTCTTTATTTCATAATATTTTCTTATCTACTCATCTTAAGAAACAATTTTTTAATCGCAGATTTTTGTACCATGTCATCGGAATAAAATGAGACCTTGCTCATGCTATAACTGCGTCAGCTATTGTTCGCCGCCCGCCGCGCCGGTGCGATTAGTCACAAATGGACGAATGTGCGATGCGTTAATAACAAGTGAGAAAAAGCGGGGGGGAGAGAGAGAGAGAAAGAGAGAGAGAGAGAGAGAGAGAGAGAGAGAGCGCTTGTGGGCCTGCCTGGGTCGAATGCCGTTAAGTCGTGCGTTCAGTGACCGCATCGACACACGGTGGCCTGTAAACAACAGACAGTTTGATTAAAAGTAATTGCGTATGTCCAATGTAGCCAGGATTTGGACGAATTTTCGAATCGGTCGCGTCGCGCGCCGCATCGCGCCGTGTTCATTCACAGGCCGTTGGTAATTTCGTGAAAATGCATTTCACGGGTCGATTGCAATGTGGATCACGCTGTTGTTTTCGGCTTCGTGCCCGCTTCCTGTGAATCTTCCGGCCTGAGCGAACCAGCCGCTATAATTTATGATGCGGAAGAGCCGGTATAATGGCCGCGCGCAAGCCGAAGGCGACTGCTCTCGTCGTCGTGGACTCTTGCCACTGTAAAGCGCGCGAGCAATCGGCTAAATGTATTTAACGGCGCGTCGCAAGACACAGCGTGCATAATTTAAATTTCGCATTCAGTTTCCTATATCGAGCGAATTCTCAAATACCGAATTCTATGGAAAATTTTGCATATCGCGTTAACATTTGTCAGCGTTTCAATTATAAAGAAGATGTCATGTACATACAACATGACAGTAACAAGTCTGATACGATAATGATTTCCTAATTATCCAAAAAGTTGACGTAGAAACATTTATTATTGCATTTAATCACCTTACTGTAGTACGATTATCGTATTTTCTTCAATAATTTAACGACAAATATCGTTAATGCTGCACGGAGATATCGCTATTGTACTTTATTCGCTACACTGTTGTGTGTGGTTTCATTAAAATATAGCCTTCAGCAATTTTCATAAAGAAGACAAGATATATGCTGATATTAGCTATGCTTGTGTCATGATAAAATTTTATCTTTTTATTTAGTTTTTAAATCACTTTGACTTGTTAGTTTTTAATTGTAATCCGTATCTTTATTATGTAAACATTTTTATTAATTACACGCTTTTCGTTGTCGATATTATACAAATATAGCAAGAATCGCCGCAGGTAGTTAAAAAAAGATGTTTGCGCTTGCTGCTGGCAGTATATCGTATGAAGATCTCGAGCTGTGAATATATCAGCGTGTTTTTATTTCGCTTTGAGAGACTGCATCTTGATTTTGAAATGTAAATGAGAATATCTCTCTGCGCGTCGTCGATCTATCTTTACATAATGTAAATTATTATCGCAGAAATAGCTAAAAGAGACATTTGCGAATTTCCAATAAGTAGCGACACGTAACTTATTGCAATAAATATACATAATTATTTGTCTGGAGCGACAGGTGCGCTTCGACTTTGAGAGATAAGAGCGCATTGTATTTGTAAAAATTACTACACGCTGAACAAAAATATGGCGAGAATCTGCATAGTCTATAAATTCACTAATGTCTTTACTTCAATTCTAAATTATCGTCCACTTGCGTTTAAAGCAATCAAGTGCTTTGCAAATTGCTGCAAGCACATTTTTGCAAAATGACACTAGTTTTGAAAAGGTAATGAGAATTTTTCTGTCGTAATCTGCTATACATCCGTAATTTGACAAACGCATTAGCTCGTTAAGCGCAAGGGCGATTAAACTTTAGTAATTCCCTTTTGAAAAGCTCGAGACCAAGTCGATTAAGGGTAACTAGTATCGTATACAAAAGTTTCTGTATAAAATACAGAAAGTAATGTGACAATGGATCATCATTAAGAAATATGAGATTGCAAAAAGTATATGTATATAATAATGTTAAAGTGTTTGTAAGAAAATTAAAAATAAAATTACTCATCGCTCGAATGAAATATATATATTCTTTCGATAGCACACACATGTATGCATTAAAATCATATTTGATGTTAATAATAATAATACTCATATTATCTCTCGTAATATTTACTCTTTTAACGTCGTATTAGGTTTTCCGGTGGTGGGAGAAGGCACCGATGAATGAATCAGTGACAAATAAGCGACCCTTGTCAAGACTGGTACCGCGGTGAGATCGACGTGCGACGCAGATGTTGAGTCATCCATGCTAGAAATATCGTAATTGCCTCGTCCGTACACGTATATAGTTGCATTTCCCTCCGTCGTATATGTACGTATAGATAGTGAGGATGACGCGCGTTCGGTGGATTATATTT